CTTAAAACACACTGCGATATCAGGGATCAGGGATCAACTTGCAACATATTGACAACATGTGACACCCACGTGATGAATGCAAATAACATGAAAATGACTCCGGTCAGGCATCTGGAGATCCAAGTGCTGCTAAAAGACGGAGCTATTAAGTGGCTAACCCATACATAGGATGGGCGTATTTGCAGATAATCCCTAGTATACAATTGTATTTTAACTAATTAATATATGGGACACGCAGATTCGAAAGAGAAGTTCCTCCACTGACTCCAAGAGGAAAAAACATTAACAAAAATCAAGATGACTCTCCCCACTTCCTTACCAGACTGAATTCGCCGAGGAAAAATGGTCCGTCATCAAACTTAGCAAGGGCTTCTTCCAACTTATCAAATGCAGCATCTGATAAACACAGATTAATTGGAATTAGAAACTACTGAAGACCCTTGAACATTCTCCTTCTCCCACTTAAAGTGAAAAAAATATGTTTCCTCACTCACCAAGTTCATAAGGCACATCGCCCTTAGATGCAATTGCAGGGTGATTAACTTCATTGAAAGTATCACTGTAATCCAAGAGTTCTGTTGCAAACTGCTGCTTCGCAGGATCCTGAAAGTCAACAAATATCCCCCCAAAAAAAAAGTTAGCAATTTTGGCCAACATTACTAGACTTATTATGAAATTAGGAGGGTGCTTACATTAGGAAACAATTTCGGGCCTTCGAAATTTTCATCAATGTATTTTAGCAAATCCAAACTCTCCCCTTTAACTTGATTATTATGCTCCAGAGCAGGCACCTATAATACAAATTACCACTATAACTAATGCAACAACACAAAAGAAAAACAAGCAAAAAATTTGAAAAAAATTAAATTTCAGAAACCCTTTCAAATTTAAGGGAGAAAATTATGGGCGAAATTTGAAACAGTTTTTTTACAAGGAATCACCTTGTTTACAGGGTACACCTTCTCCTTGTACCAGCGAGGCCTATTTTGGAGATTAATCGGGACCAATTTTATCTTGTCTTGCAGACCCTAATCCCAAAATTTATATAAATAGAAGACAAATGCATAATAATAATAATAAACCCAAGTCAGCACTTTTCAAGAATTTTCTACAAACTGTAAACAATTGAGAATTAAGGAGATTGGTTTCCCCCCCTACCTTGTAGTTCCTAGCAATCCAAGTTCTTTGGGCATATGGGCATATGTAGGATATATACAGCCTTTAAATTCACAAGGCAAAAAAAATTAATGAAGGATTCATATAAAATTCCACTAAATTATGGAGAAAAAGAAACATTGGAAAATAAAATTTGACCTTGTGGTTCCATCAAAGAGGGTAGGTGGATCAGCAGAAGCATCAAGACTAAGGGGAAGTTGCTCACTCATAATGTTACGATCAACTTAACCATACAAAGGAGGAAAGGGAGAAAAAAAAAACTTATTAAGAGATTAAAATTTGAGATGATTATTATTAAGAGCCCGTAGAAATAAATACATAATAAAATCACCTTCAAATGCTACCTCTTGAAGTTTGCTGTGAGAAATGTCCGGTGATGGGTAGATTTATAGTAGTCTTTGAAGCAAAAAATATAGCGGTGACAGCAAATTGAGCAGCAGAATGACTCGGTGGCAGCAAATTGATCAGTATAAGTGTATGGTTTACATTTAGTCAATAGAATTTCGAAAAATAAAATTTATAAATTTATACAGGAAAATTACTGAAAAGTTGAGATGGCCGAGTTGGTCTAAGGCGCCAGATTAAGGTTCTGGTCTAAAGGGTGTGGGTTGAAATCCCACTCTCAACGATATTGCTTTTCTTATAAAATAATTTTTCTTTTCCCCCTCGAAAATATTCAAAACATTGACCGCACCCAAGCTTAATGACAAAATGCACCCCAACATTTCGAAAAAGTGATCATAGGCTCAGTTATGACAGCTTCTAACATTTCATTGCCGCATTCAAGTAGCAGGATGGCTTTGCTTCGAGCAGCTGAAAGACCATTTTATGAATCACTAATCTCATATTTTCAGTTTGAGTAATGCTACGGGGAACCAAATCCATGTGACAGCGGAGGGGACAAGTGAGGTGTCCCCTCCTCATTGCTCCATGCACTGTTCATAAACAGTGCATGGAGCAATGAGGAGGTGAGGTAATGAGGAGGGGACACCTCACCTGTCCCCTCTCCTGTCCCATGGATTTGGGTCCTTACGGAATTTTCCTTTCAGTTTATATATAGAGGGTTGTCCGGGAGAGCTTATTTTTTTTGTCAGACGAAGCTTTGAATTTAGCCTTTTTATGACTATTTATTTGGTAAGTTCCCTATATATAAGCTAGCTTATAAGTCTCAATTGAAAAAATTAGAAAAAACCAAAAAATCTAACATAAATAAACAAGAAAATAATCACTCTAGGCACACAAGGTTTTTAGTTCTCGAGGCTTCTCAACTTTAAAACTAGCTTATAAGCTCGTATAAATAAACAAATAAATAATTACTCTTCCCACACAGCTTTTACAAGAGTTTTATCATAAGGGGCTGTTTGGTTGTATGTTTTTACCATGTAAAAAGATGAAAAGTGAAAAAAATGGGTTCCAATGTCAGCTTTCATCACTTTATATTGTTTGTTTAAATTCTCTTTTACATGAAAAGCTTACATCTTTTGATGAGGTGTCACTGAAAGCAAAATCACCAAAATTATTAGGAGTGGTTTTGTTGGAAAGCTGACACAATGTCATAAATGTGTCCAAAAAAATAATAAAAAAGTTAAAAACTTGTAGAAAGTGGTGAGATGGATAACCACTTTCTATTTTGTGCCATATATACTCTAGTTTACATTATACTATCCAAACAATATAATACTATTATTTTAGTATTCACAAAGATTCCTAACCAAACAATATAAACACTCGAATGGAAAATGGTGAGGTAGATAACCACTTTTTTATTTTATGTCATAAATACTCTGGTTTCCTAAAGACATCTAAACAGCCCCTAAATGCAAGAAGCCATAAAAATCCAATAACGAACCAATGACTTCAACGCTCCTTTAAAGATAAACCCTCCCTCCCAAGCGCCCTCATAACGTGGAGACACGTGCATAAAAAACATCCAATGAATTCTTAAACCACTATTAGAAAAATTTGGTCCATCCTTAAGCTGAAGAGTAAGCCCATTTGAAAACTTTCATATACTGCTCATATTCTCTAATTAATGGTCGTCGTATCCAAATATACCACTATTTTGCTAAACATGGAACAAAAATGGTAAATAAAAAGAGTCAAGAGAAGAAATCTCAAATATCGATATTGCACATAAGACATATTAGAACTTGATAGTGGCACAAACCAACTTAAGACAACATAATAGAATTTGAAAGTGGCACAAGAGATGTTCCCAAAATGGACAGCAGAAGAAAATTGTTTTATGTTCTGCTTCGAAATTTTTTCACTAAACAGAATGAAAACTTTTTTTGCTTAAACCCTGAAACCTCTGCTGTTTCTCCTTCCCCTAGCCTTTTCAAATTTCCTCCCCTTCGATCGGACATACGGCTTGGTGTGACTGTGAGGAACGCCAGGAGCAGGACCAAAGTGCTTCACTGCTTCCCTCGAGTTCTTTGTGCCCCTAAGCAGAACCTGTTAAGGGGAAAAGAAGAAAATAATCAAGTGCCAGAACCTTTTTTTTTTTGGGGCATAACGTATACTGTAAAAAAGGCTAGAATCAATTCACTGCACAGCTGCACAGCTTCAACAGATTATTCGAAGTTTTCAACATGGACAAAACTCAATTGATTATGACGCATAAGTCATGTTCATGTTTGGGTAAAAACTGATCATAAGGTGTTAATTCATCATCCCTAAATCTTTTTGTGCGCACTTGGGGCAAGAATCAATTCACTCATTTGAATTACCATTTGGCAACAACTACAATAGGCAGAATTATGTAGGGACCAAAGCTCAAGCATAGTTACAGAGAACAGATTACTTGCGGTAGTATTACGAAGCTGGGTCATTACAGGTAAGAAGGTATTTGAGATTGAACTCGGATAATATATTGATTTCTGCTCCCCTGACTTTCCTTTCTGGAAAAACTCAAGAATAAACTAGGATTAAACACTATCATCAATCTTAAAACAAATTTATAAAAAATTAAATAACATTTGAGGAGATGAAATTGAAAAGAGACATCAAAAGACAGCAAAATTCTTCAGATAATGTAACAGGTAACAATATAGCTCAGACAATGTTCATGTCTTCTATTCCTCCACCTTTCCTTTACGGAAAGGCTCATAATGAGCTGGGATTAGACAATATCATCATCGCTAAAGGAATTAACAAAAAACTACATGGAACAAAATAGATCAAAATGAAGGAAAAAAAGAAAAGGAAAAAGGCCATGAAAATAAACGAAAATGAAACAAGAAAGGAGATTAGGTCTATACGATTAAGAGTACATAGAACAAAATAGATCAAAATGAAGGAAAAAAAGAAAAGGAAAAAAGGATATGAAAAAGAAACGAAAATGAAAAAGAATGGAGAGATTAAGAGTCAGCATGGAAAAAAAATCTTGGATGGAAATATAAAGAAAACATATGCAGCTCTATCATGGCAAAGACTTACTTATTGAAATTATAAACAAAAAATTTGCATCAGAGAGCAAGGATGCAACTCAGAATATCATCAAGTTATTATCTACCATAATTGTCATGCTCTCTGGACAGGTATCAAAAGTTACATATAGAAAAGAAAATTGCAAGGACCAGCTCAGATATAGTTTATGATTTCTACTCATCCACCTTCCCTTTTGGAAAGACTCATAATGAGCTGGGATTAAACAATATCATCATCACTAGGAAAAAGAGACGGGAAGTTGCATAAAGATCAGAGGATATACAAAACAAAGGGGAAAAGATGGCAAAAGGAGGGTGTAAAAGAAACATTTTTGGAGCTTCAACACAACTGCGGTTCTTTTCAAGGTATTATAATAAGCCTAAAGTTATGGTGAGGGTGATCATATATCAGGAAATTTGTATGTGCGGATGACCATACACCTAACTGAAGCAGTCAAACTATATTACCAAAAATACGCAATGCCTCAACATATTAGTCATCATGAATAACAACTGAGGGAATACATAAAAAAAAAAGAGCTCAGATCTCTTTGAGCTTAAAACGAGAAGAAAAGCAGATATATTACATATACCTGAACATTTCAATTAGCCATTATATACATTACACAATATAAAACCGTTTGATACAAGCAGGACCTACATAGGTGATGCCTCAAAGAAAGTGCCAAAACTGACCACAATTTTGTTTTAAAGCTAGATAAATTTTGATGAAAAATATATAACAAAAGAAGGCCTACAGCCTACTAGATAGGTTCCCTCAGGTTGGAATATGAGTTAATCATCAACTGATTCAGCATCATTAGCATGGTTTAAGTGACATCACAGGTAACCGAACCTAAGAAACGTCAAATGATAAAGATATTCTACATAGATAAAAGATAGTTCCAAGAATATGACTGAAATGCCAAAAGCAAACCAATAGGTCCAACACACCACAATGAATGACATACTCTCCAGATGGCACAAAGAACGCACTAATATCAAATAAATCCTGAATATGCACAATGAGTATCTATTGGAGTAGAGAGTCAAAATTCGCTTTCTAATGCAAAGACAATGCGCACAATGCAGAGAAGGAAATAAAGCAACACAAAATAAATGGAACAACAAACAGATAAAAGAGGACTCCTAAGAACAAGAGATGTTTGAAACCTCAATTCCAATTTAGTCCCCCTAGTGAAATTCTCGAATTGGCCGCAAGAGAGAGAGAGAGAGAGAGAGAGAGAGAGAGAGAGAGAGAGAGAGAGAGATAGAGATGTTTGAAACCTCAATTCCAATTTAGTCCCCCTAGTGAAATTCTCGAATTGGCCGCAAGAGAGAGAGAGAGAGAGAGAGAGAGAGAGAGAGAGAGAGAGAGAGAGATTCACAAATGTCAATGCTTTCAAACTAAACTCACAATTTTTATCATATGCTCCTACTTTTATAATTTCAAAATGACAATTGGCCCGTGGTTCACAGAAAGATTGCTAATCTACTGCTCCTTGTTAAGAAGAAACTAATAGAATGACAAGAATGTGTATTCTTAAAAACCAAACTATTCCCTACGAACAAAGACCACATTTGAAATTGAAAGAAAAACATATATAAAAAAATGTCAAAATTTGAAGAAGTTATCATTAACAAAACTCTTGCAATCCAATGTATTCTGACAATATTTCAACATGGGAAGCAATCTAAGATTGAAGAAGTTATCATTTAGACATAAATGGCGATGTATATGGAACTTGATTATTCACCATTTCTATTATCAGTATATTTGCACCGTTACTTAAAAAATCACATGTATTCTAATGTGCATGAAATGTTAACAGAGATAAATATACATCACTAACAATTATGGATATGGAGAATGCTAAAATTGGAAGTTTCATACAAATTAAAAAAAAGCAATCAATTACCGTGTTCTGCCCAAGGGGAGCACGCAGAGCAAGCTGATCAAACGTCAGGCACTCTCCCCCAGCCTTCAGGATCCTCGCCCTCGCAGTCTCCGTAAACCTCAAAGCCGTCACTTTCATCGCCGGAACCTCATAAACCCTCTTGTCATCAGTCACAGTTCCCACAATCACCGCAATATTGTTCTCCTACTCAAAACAGGAAATCACCACAAATTAGCCAAAAAAATCAAGAAAAATACTATAAAATCCGTTTTTTCAAAAAAAAAAACTACCTTTCCCTTCATGAAGGCGACGAGCCTCTTGAGAGAGATCGGAGGCTTGTTCGTCCTGCTCATGAAGAGCCTCTTCAGAATCACCGAGTTGAAGCTGCTGCCGGTCCTCCGAACCAAGAACTTGTAAAGCTGATCCAAAAACGCGGGAAATGAGAACAAAAATGATCGAATTCGATAAAAATCGATGAGATCGGTAGAGATTTGATCGAATCTAACCTTGACGAGGAGCTTGAGGTAGACATCGTCGGATTTGGGCGCCGTGCGCTTGGTCTTCTTGCTCCGGCCGCCGGCGACGAGATCGATACCCTGAAAGAGAGAGAGAGAGAGAGAGAGATGGAGATGATGAAAATGCTAGGGTTAGGGTTTGATTAGGGTTTCGATCGAGGAGTGCGAATGTTACCATGAGAGCTTCTGCTGCTGTTGCTGCTTCCTCGGCCTCGAGGCGGCTAGGGTTTTAGTTTACGAATCAAAGACTTCTTTATTTCTAAAAAGTGTATTTTATAGTTGTGTGACAGAGTGGCCCACTGGATCAATATAGGCCCAATGGTAATTTACAGGCCCAATAAATGGGACAAACTTAATCCTAATATTCATTATTGTTTTGTGGCTAAATTACCAAATCGGTAATTTTTGTAACCCCACTTAATAATCAATTTGATAGTAAAAGTTTCTCCAGCAACTTTTTAGTATTAAAAATACACTCATTCTGCAGATAGGCATTTTACTTTGCCGCCGACGAAAAATTGAGGAAAATATGTCAAACTTTAAGCACAATTACAGCTAAAAAACTATGTTTTCATGCAATTAAATAACCGATAACCATCCTTCTAACCATCCACATCTTTAAAATCATATGAAAATTCAAGACGCAGTCTCCGTAAACCTCAAAGCCGTCACTTTCATCGCCGGAACCTCATAAACCCTCTTGTCATCAGTCACAGTTCCCACAATCACCGCAATATTGTTCTCCTACTCAAAACAGGAAATCACCACAAATTAGCCAAAAAAATCAAGAAAAATACTATAAAATCCGTTTTTTCAAAAAAAAAAACTACCTTTCCCTTCATGAAGGCGACGAGCCTCTTGAGAGAGATCGGAGGCTTGTTCGTCCTGCTCATGAAGAGCCTCTTCAGAATCACCGAGTTGAAGCTGCTGCCGGTCCTCCGAACCAAGAACTTGTAAAGCTGATCCAAAAACGCGGGAAATGAGAACAAAAATGATCGAATTCGATAAAAATCGATGAGATCGGTAGAGATTTGATCGAATCTAACCTTGACGAGGAGCTTGAGGTAGACATCGTCGGATTTGGGCGCCGTGCGCTTGGTCTTCTTGCTCCGGCCGCCGGCGACGAGATCGATACCCTGAAAGAGAGAGAGAGAGAGAGAGAGATGGAGATGATGAAAATGCTAGGGTTAGGGTTTGATTAGGGTTTCGATCGAGGAGTGCGAATGTTACCATGAGAGCTTCTGCTGCTGTTGCTGCTTCCTCGGCCTCGAGGCGGCTAGGGTTTTAGTTTACGAATCAAAGACTTCTTTATTTCTAAAAAGTGTATTTTATAGTTGTGTGACAGAGTGGCCCACTGGATCAATATAGGCCCAATGGTAATTTACAGGCCCAATAAATGGGACAAACTTAATCCTAATATTCATTATTGTTTTGTGGCTAAATTACCAAATCGGTAATTTTTGTAACCCCACTTAATAATCAATTTGATAGTAAAAGTTTCTCCAGCAACTTTTTAGTATTAAAAATACACTCATTCTGCAGATAGGCATTTTACTTTGCCGCCGACGAAAAATTGAGGAAAATATGTCAAACTTTAAGCACAATTACAGCTAAAAAACTATGTTTTCATGCAATTAAATAACCGATAACCATCCTTCTAACCATCCACATCTTTAAAATCATATGAAAATTCAAGAAATCTACAAATTTTATGTGTCACGTCATCTAAATCTAGCCACATTAGTTAAACAAAGCCAAACCGGTGTTCTAATCAACCCTGAAATTAAGTCACATGTGGTCACATGCAATTTTCCCGCCAAGGCGGCAAAAAGTATCTACTTGCACATTTGACTTTATTTGGATACCAATAGTCGTCAGAGAAACTTATAATATTAAAGCGATTAAGCCGGGTTACAGAAAAATACCAATTTGGTAATTTTGCCGTTGTTTGATAGGAGATAGAAAAGCCGGGAACTCTTGCTCCATACAATATTTACATTTTCGTACAGAAATTTCATCTCCCCTTTATCTAATATTTACGGGCTCTTGGGTGCTTACACTGTGATTCTTGATTTCAAAGGGATATAGGAAAGATGAGATTTTTTTTTCCGCATAGATTAAACTCATACTTTCAACAAAACATCCCCAGCAAAGAAGTACCCTAACCAAATATGGGCTTTATCAATAGCATTATGAACAAATTTGACGCATGACCAAAAGTTATATTCGAAAACTTCAATTTGGCGTACTCAATTCATATATGATACACTGAGTACGGTAGAAAATAATACGGAACATAACATTACGGAAATGTTGTCCTTACACTGAATGCACAGTTCGATTTGGCCTCAAATTCATCAAAAATATCTTCCCCCTTAACTTAAAATAGACACGGCCACTACAGTCCAATTACAGGTTCCTGCGAACGATGAACAAAGATTGACGCTGAATATACAAGGGATATGCAATTAATCGAGCCAAAGCTTTGAGCGGAACACTTTTTAAGTTGCCAGACCTAGCAAATTCTGCTGCTTCCGGCATCAGTTTTCAACCAGATTTGAATAACAAGATTGCTTTTGTGTCCAAATAGAAGTAGATGAAGTGGTTCGTCTCATGCGTCACATATGAACCTGGAACAATTTAAGAGAAAAGTGTAACTAGAATGCTCCTGATAAAACCAAAAAACAGAAGCGGAAACAAAAATGTAATATGACAAAGAAATGATCAACCAGAAACTAGTTTTACTTGGTCCATGCTAAACAAACCCCCGATAAAGGACTGGAACTAAATAAGACTGAACCAGTCCTATTTATACACGTGTGCATGTGCGTGGGCATGTGTGTCATTTTGGCAGTTTACCACATTCATTTTGTATTGGATATAACTGGATGAGTGTGATGGTTGGGAAACTTCATCAAGAATGAATGCAATGGGATGGTCATGTTATTAGGACTTTTTTTTACCTAGGTTTAATGAGATTTACATTATGATTTCTGGCCATAGAAGCTCAATTCAAACGGACAGTAAACAGTGAACTCAGGACAATGAAATCATGAACTTCATGATGTATCAATATCAATTTAACTAAATGAAAATCTTGTTACTCAAATTGAGGTTAGTTGTGCCATAAGCATTCATGTCATTCAAGTTATGTTATGTTCCTCATTGAACTGTACTAATTTAACTTGGCCATAATTTGATAGTGGTATTCTGTAATTTTGATTTTATTCTTATGAGTCATGACTCATACTCGTGTCATGCTACTCATTAGATGGCATTTGCATGTATAATTGGTTTCATGGGGATTTCAATGAAACATATGCAAGTCGGGTGAGGGAATGGTAGTGGGAATGATTGGGGCATATGCAGATTATGGCATTGAGTGATGAAATGTGCAGCATGTGTATACAATATACATATATGGGAACTGGATATATAATCTGAATGGGGCTGTGCTGGAAGAGATAAGAATGTGGTTTGAGAATAGGTTGCAGATAGTATCATAATTCATGAGTACTTACAGAATGTGACGAGTTACTGCCTTACTGGAAAGTTGTTGGATACTGAACACTTCCTCTGTGCGCGCGCGCGCGTGTTAAGCTGCTGAACATTGACTGTTGGCCAGGGATTTATTTGTTGGATGCATATGACAGCATAGGAAAGTAGGTGAATGACTGACGTCAAGGATACTATAAAGGATGTTTTCAATAACAGCAAGGGTTGGGATGAACGTATACACATGAATTTTTTTGAAAGTTAGCCATGTCATATGATCACCAGAGAAAACAGTCATATGAAGGATTCAGTTCAGTCACAGCTAATATGAGGGATGTTATTCTGTAACTCAAAAAAATTTTACACAAGAAGAAAATACTTCAATAAAAGTAATGATTTCTGCTATTTGGAAATGCTGTCAACGTCCACAATTGCACTACTCATGGAGGATATTTCTGACAAAACCATACTAATGTAAAGAAGTAAAACAGTCCCATTCAGGTATCTACTTCTATATTTAAAAGAAGCTTGCCTGTTGGCTATTATTTTTGGTATTCTGCCCTACATGTCACAGACTCACAGTTTTAAAAAAATCCAAGAAACATTCACACAATTTATTGTAATTTCAACTTACTTGAAAGATAAAATTAGGCAAGTCAAAAAAATCAACTCCCCAAGTCACATACCCAATCGTGTGAGACAGTTAACCTCAACCTCTTTCTGTCTCCTGCTCTCTCTCTATCTTTCTCCCTCCACCCCATTAGATCATGTTAAAAGTGTAAAAATCTAATCTAAAGGTTCTTCATGCTAACAGTTTTAAATCAATTCTTTTCTTTCTCCTCCTCTCAATCTCTATTTGTATTGTTGATTCAAGATCGAAGGGTTATAACTATTCCTTCTCCAGATTTTGCTCTATGGTATTGATTTGAAGTTGTTTTTTTTTAATTTCATTTGTTTTTTGTTATCATATGTCGTTCGATGTTAGGCGAAGGATCATGAAAGATGTTAATAAAGGGAGGGCCAGAGGTAAATGCTCATAATAAATAAGTTGTTGGTATTTATATTGAGGATGGGATCATGGAGGATTTAATATATACTACTTAGTTAATTTTGTTGAAAATATATTAAAGATGGTTCATTTATGACCTTTGATTGGTTCAGTTTTATTTATTTATTTAGAAACAGTTTCATTATTTTGTTAATAATAGTTAATATATGAATGAAATATAACATTATATTTGATTATGAATGCTTAATGGAGTTCATCGAACAATTTAGGATAACATATATTAATTCTGTGAAAGTTGTCCTGCATTTATGGGAATGAAGTCGCAAAATTCATGAAAATTTTGTGATTTTTCATACACTCATATTTAAGCAAGGAAGATATATGGAATTTTGACTTGTTGAATAAATTACTATTATCGTCAATTGTTATCAATTTTGTTAACACAAATCTACAGTGTGTCATGCACGCATCTTGTGCACTAGTTCTTTATTCATATTCGTGATATCAATCAATATGTAAACAGTCCTAAACCAATCTTTTACCATAATCTATATTCATATTGTACTGCACATACTCATATAATAATGTAATGTATAGAATATAGGCGTGCGGCTCTCTACAGCACGCTCAGGAATATGCAATCTTGCATAGCAGATCTAGCAAATTAGAAATCACATCCATACTGTAGATTTTTTTAAACATATTTTTGGTGTGCTAGATTCACCTATATTTAGATGATTGTAACTCATATGGTTGCACCGATAGTCAGGCATCCACCTATCTGCCTTACAGAATTTAACATCAAAATGGAATTTTCTATATGTCCACGTTGTATGACTTTTAGTGGTTATAGGTTGCCTCGAAGCATGTTATGCTTTGGTACTGGTTTGCGACTTTGCGTATAATACCAAGGAATGAAATACTGTGAAGAGTGTGATATGATTTTGGATAGTTCAGATATGGTGTTGAGCATAGTCTTATTGGATGTTGTGATCCATATTGTTTAGTTACAGTACTAAGGAATATCATGGGAAGTACGACAATATTCCATATGCAATGCCGGTAACACAAAGGATGAGGTATATGGAGCTAATGAAAGAGTGAGAAGGGAGTACGATGGGAGTATGGTAGGAGGAGATATATGGATGTAGTATTAGTAGATATGTTTTTTTTTGCACTTTTTATTCAACCGGTCAGATTTTTATCTTAGTCTATACTCTATATGCATGATGTTTAGCCACTAAATGCATGTTATTCATCAAAAAATAAATGTTCTAAAACGTGATCAGACTTACTATTCATATATTGCTCATGCTTAGGTGGTAAAACAATTGGAAACTTATTATATTTACATATGCTTTTTCAATTGATTCATAGAACATATATACATCGTGCACATCGCATGCATTATATCTACTATCCATGTTAAATCACAAAGATTTTAAATGTTATTCAGAAACAAAGTGGCTCACATTTCCCCCTTTATAGTCATCATACATCACATTTTACCCCGATGAGAGCACTCAGACATACTAAAATACCACGTCATTGGACATGTATGTCATTGTAGAACTGCTAACCCCTGCATATATTGACAATCCTCATAAGCAAACAAGCCAAACTGAAACTCCAACATAACATATAAGTGTAAACGTATCAAATATTTAACTTAAGTGCATTATGTATTCAAAGCCTTCCTCAAATGATAGGATGTTTATACTCATGAGTGGGCAACTCCTGGAATATCAACAGGTATTTTTCAGGAATTAAAGATTTTAACAAGAGATGGTCTGTATGGTAAAATTAATATAGTTTTCGTCGAGGACGATATAGATTATATTATTGACAATGTCTAAGACTCTAAGCGGAACTAAGTATAAATTAAAAACAAATTAAGAAATTATAAATTACCAATTGTTTTCAACATCTTAGAGGTTCATCTTATATGTGGGAATATATAATGAGGTATTTCTATTAATTTCTATGTTTCATGTTAGGTTAAGGAAGCTATTTGTGCAACTTGGTGAGTTATCACATAGATGTTTTAGATCTATTTAACCTGCAACAGTAATCAATATATCCAAAGATACCTGTAATTTTGTATTTTTCTGAATTCGTTTTACATTGAGCATTTCTTGTTTGTACTAAAATTAGAGTAAGAATTCTATCACAACTTCAAGCATGGTGCGAAACTATCAGAATATAAATTATATTCCTCAATCCTCATCACAACCTTAGAGTTTTGGTGTAGTGGCTATGTCTGACAATCGCACTACTCATATTTTATACACTATCTTTTAGAGTTTACTTTGAAGGGAAGAAATAAATATGTTACATATATGGTGCGAGACTCTCAGAATATAAATTATATTCCTCAATCCTCATCACAACTTTGGAGTTTTGGTGTAGTGGCTATGTCTGACAGTCGCACTATTCGTTTATACACTATCTTATAGAGTTTGCTTTGAAGGGGAGAAATAAATATGTAACATATAGGGTGCGAGACTGTCAGAATATAAATTATATCTCTCAATCCTCACAACAACTTTAGAGTTTTGGTGTAATGGCTATGTCCGACAATCGCACTACTCATATTTTACAGACTACCTTATAGAGTTTACTTTGAAGGGAAGAAATAAATATGTTACATATATGGATTAAACAAGTTTATTATGTTAAACACAAGCTATTAGGCTAAGCTTCTAACAAGAAAAATTAGGCGAAATATACTTTCATGCATGTTATAAGAATATTAAATATATACACATTATGGGGGAAAAAGTAGCAAAGAGAGAACTATGCGGATCTATAACCCTCTAAGAAAAAGAACAAAAAAATTGTAATTCTCATCTATCATATAGTTTTTGCCAAAAAAAAAAGATGAAGTAATTAAGAAATTTGTTCCATGAAAATATTTCATGATGAAATACTACAATTTTATATTATTAAAATGAATTCATGATGAAGTTTGTATGGATCTATAATCTTCTAAGAAGAAATAAATTAATTTAAGATAAAAATGTTCCATGGTAAATTTTCATGGTAAAATTTAACATACATTATTTTTAAATTAAATTTAAAAGCAAATCATGGTGTTTCTCAATCAAAAAACACATTAATCATCAG